TCAGCCACAGAGACTGGCGAAACGTTAGGAAGAACAACCTTCAAAACACAGCCAAAGAGCCCAAAAAACCCACAACAACCATGTTGCTGATCTCTTTACTGCTGCAAGTCCAATCTGTACTCCATTTCCAGGTAGCACTTCCAGAACATCCAGAGTTCCACAAAATCCCTGTATGAGTACAGATTTCTACACCCTTAAAACTTTATGAGGAAAACCTTATATACACTGTACTGGAAGATTCTGACTAGAGATGGGGGTATTCACAGACAAATATCCCCGCACAGGTGGAAATAACGAGGGTTATTTCCATGGGGTTGGACTGTCCACTTCAATTTCACAGCTGACACAAGCATGTCAGACCTTTCTATTGCACCGTTGTCCACAATTGATTATGCAGTCCTGGCAGGAGGTGGGATGACAAGCCTCTCTGCTAGGTCGGAGAGTGGCTAATCCATTGTGGAGAATGGCGCAATAGGAAGCTTCCGCATAGCCAGCGGCAGCAGCAAAATTGTGGGTGGATTTCCACCTGTGCGGGGATATTCGTATACATATACTCCCATCTCTAACTCTGACCAATAAACAGTGCATCTGGCAAATGCAAATGTAGGGGGGAAAGGCCTACAAAGGAGAAAAAATTACAAGGAACCAGTAAACCAGAGTTATGCAGATATTCCCCCCTCTCTCCACCACAAAACTCATATGGATCTAAACCCGAATGCTAGTCTTAATTACAACAGACCCACTTAATAAGTTGTTGAATGGTAAGTAAAGATATACATAAATCCCACTGATAAATATTGCCTTTTCAATACTGCTTAGCAGTATAACAATCCAAACAATGCTATGGCAACCAGATTCTGTTTGTAGGTTTCCCATGATCATTTGGCTTGCCATTATGAAAACTGTGAAGATAGGGAGATGATTAGACAGGTCTTTGGTCTGATGAAAAAAAAGGATCTTCTTAAAAATTTTTCTTGGGGATGCTAGAGAATGTCAGGGGCTACAGAATGCTGAAATCTACACATCTGTAGTAATTCTACAAATTAGCTATTTCTAATATGATGCCCACTGGATGTGTTAAGAGAACAGCTCCCATCTTCCTCAGCTATGACCAATATGTGGACTTTGGGAAATACACAGGACATCAATACCTGATAGCTATTTCTCACTGTTACTAATGAAAGCTCATCACACTAGAATCATAGTAGTCAGTATGTTGAGTAGAAAATTGTCTCCAAACTGACATCTCATATGTAATATTCTGGTTAGAATGTCACATAAAGGCCACAGCTATTAAAGTTAATATACTCTAGCAAAGGAAAAAACAGAAAAATCTTCTAGCAGCCAGAAGATATTTCCATGTTTCCCCAGTGGCAAGGGTCCAATCAAAGTCTCACAGAGGTAAGTGCCTTTTACACTCTAAAAACTGGAAAAACATGTTTTCCCTTTCAGCATTCAAGAGCAGGAACAAAAGAGTTTGCCCTAGAGTTCACAGGAAAATTGTGTCACTTCTTTATTGGCAGGAAACTTCAGTAAAGCCAAGGCAAAAAGCACAGTAAATCATTTCTCTACCTATGGAAAAGCATACTATTAGATGGTCTTGGCTTCAGATTACCTTGCCCCAAAGAAGGTGAAGGGAGGTTATTTTGATCACTAGCATAGAATGATTAATGTACAATTGAGAAGAGCTGACCTACAGAGGCAAAAATGCCAAAACAGTCAAAACACCTATCAACTATCCTTTACAATATGGAGATAATAGACATGGCCTTATTTATTTATGTTTATTATTTATTTATCATTTGAATTATCCCACACTATCTGGCAACCAGGCCACTTTGGGAGGCTGACAACAATATAAGGGGAAAAAATTAAAAACACGATAAAAATAAATTAATACATAACAAATAGGGCAAATAAAACAGATGGCAATCCTAATCTTTCCTATTAGGATTGTTGTTAGCATTGCTGAAATCATTTAATGTATGATCTTTAAATAATTTGTAATACCACATATATATTGTATATATGCTAACTATCATTATCATTCGAAGAGGAATTGTCTGGATATAACTTATACTCAAACAGCAAAGCAATACTTATATATATATGTCTGGATATAACTTCTACTCAAGCAGCAAAGCAATAACAGGCTTCATAAATTTTCTCCAATTCAAAGATTCATTGCATAAATCCTGGAAGATCTGTATCTTATTGTCCTGATAGAGCTGGTCTTGTTTTCGTTTAATTTCTCTCATAAATTGTTCTTTCTTTGTATAATTAAAAA